CCCCAGTGACGTAACGTCGACTAGTTTTGCTGATGATCTGGATGGCCTGTTTGCTGTTGGCCTTTTCATTTTGGATGATCATTTCCCTTCTAGCGGCTGTATCTTCCAACTTGCCCATGTAATGCCTTATCAATCAAAACACTATGCTTGTTGGCATGATGGCGGCTATCGGGGTTAACACGTCCGAACAACGTCGTTCTTTACCGTCGCTCATCCATGGTCGAAAATGAAAGGGCAATCAAAGGGTACTATTTTGCTTATTTTTGACGGATTTCTTTGCTTTTTTCGCCATTGGCGTACTATTGAGACCCCACGTCCCCTCTAAACCCCTTGAGATCTATCGTAATCGCTGCCTCAAAAATTTTCGGTGCAAGCAAGGTTACGTTACATTAACTTCAAGAAATTTCCAAGGAATTCGGTTCTATGAAAATCTTATTGGATTCCACCATATGTTTTCACATTCCTCCTATCTCACGATGAGTTCCTTACTATTAGAAAATTCATAAAAACTCACTGAGCCGTATATATCTTGATGTGCAATAGTAACGTGCCCGTAATGCTTTTGTAATCCGGAGCCGACCCAAGTGAACACTCGGAATTCCTGACGTTCCAGCAGCTCTTGAATAAGTTGAAACACCTAAATATAACGAAGTAACTGAGAAAGTAGCTCAATATCTTTCCACAGGGGGGGGGGGGGGGGGGGGGCGTGCTTATTACTACTAAATATACCTACTTCTCGTTCGGTGTTTTTCATGTGATGAACAGATCCCTTTAGAATGATTAGTGAGAACATTTCCTCATCAGACGATGGCTTCTCAAAAGCAGAGGCAGTGAAAAAGTTGTTGGGAAGCGTCCATGGCGCACTCTAACGGCCAGACATGGAAATTCTTTCCTCCACCCCTCCCTCCTCAGCGTCCTCCCTCCTGCAAAGTCCGTCCTTTGCTGAGCGACTGAGTACCCGTTACTGTTGCGGAGTGTTTTCGAGCTGATTATAAATGTCCAACTCTCCCCCCCTCCTCTCGCAGTATCCACGATTTTGTTACCCATTGGCGCACCCTGCCTCCTAGTCCCACACGGAATACGTAGTTCTACCAGCGAGGCTTTACCAACATCAAGGATTCGTCGACGAGAGAGGGCGAGGGCTGTATTAACGGCCACTTTCTGCTCAGTGGCTCACTTTGCTACCAAGACTCCGTTTTTCATCTTCCAAAAGAATGACCTAGATGCCAGGAATGCAAGATGTTTCTCGGGGTTACTTGTATCCTGGAATTTGTTGGTAGGATCTATGAACCATTCTCGTCCAGCCGATGCACCATAATAGTAGTAGCCAGGCGGTATAGTGGAGACATCGAGCACTCCTAGAAGAGAACAATGGCAATTCATTACGAAGAAATGCTGAAAACTTTTTCAGGGTACGCGTAAATGTTCAGCGAATTTGCTCCAGAAGCTTGGCATAGCGCACAGTACCAACACAAGATCATAGACTCATTGAGCATCCTCGCTGTGCATAACAGTTTTCACTAACTCTCCCTTCGTCTCTTTCAATGGCCCACAACGTACTTCTACCTAATTATAGCACATTTCGTGATTCTTTTCAATCCCATTTTGTGTCGCGATCCGAGATTGGTCGAGAAGTGACAAAAAAGAAGAGAACTGAGGAAAAAATCGAAATATCTTCGAATAATAAGCTCGAGTTCACAAAATTGCATTCTAAATGCTACTTCAATGATGCTAACTAATTACGCAGCCGCTTATACTTTTAGTTTTCGTGGCCGTAATCCCATTTCAGAATAAGTTCAGCTTGTAAGTGGTGACAGCTAAAAACAGCAGGGCAAGTGATGAACTCTGACCATTTTCGCAGCCACTGCCAAGAGTCATGAGAAGGCGTTTTATTGAGTTCCCTACCATTTTAGACGCGTCCAGTGAACACAAAACGATAACCCATGCACACGCAGCTGATGGTGAGCTATAAATAGTGACAAAGGTATAACGGTAAAAGCCTACCAACATGCATCATCGGTGCAGTGGTAAGAATGCAGCATGTCTGAGCACATCGTCGAGCGAATTGAGCCTGGAATGGAAAGAGTAAACTGAAATTGCAGTACAATGGTCGCCAATGCACACCTTCTGTTCACCTTTCCTCCCAAGATCAAATTATTAGCGTGTATTGTGGAAGGGAAACAAGTGTGCAAAGTTCCAGTGGGTCAAACTCAAGATTCACCAATGCGATGCTCTACAAGTTTTTTGGTTGGCCTTGGCGAGCCTAGCACACTCTATGCTTTGTGTGGGCAGATATGTAAGTAGGCTTACTTACTGACGGACGATGAACTGCAGGAACCGTAACTTCATTTCTTGAACAAGGTTGCACCACAAACAGTGTAAACAAGTAGTTACTGCCCCATCCAAAGCAAAACAAACCGTACATTACCTCACTGCCTGACGATCGCCCAACGCGTACTGATTCTCAATCACTCCCCTTTATACCCTTTGCAACGTTTAAAAAGTAAACCGAAATACCTGAATGACTCCGGAGTAAGCTGGTTGAATACTGGACGGATAACTGCACGCGTAACTCTTCAAAGTGCCATCTCGATCCGTAAAGAAATAGTGCAGATGATCCGCATCGTACAGCAAATCTACAGCCTGAAGTTAAAGATACAATGACTTGGCCTGCCAAAGAAGTGAGGATCCGCCCGCTCATGGATAAGATAGCGAACATCGAATGAAGATGACGTTATGGCATATAGTTTCATTTGACAGAACACCATTGCATGAGAATACGTGGGTGAGACTAGGAGAGGGGGAGGAACCCTGGGAACATCAAAAACTGCTTATAAAAAATGGGCGTATGGGCTCGCTGCATTATGGTGCCCCCTCTCGTAAAAAGATCAGCGCCTAAGAAATTCGAGCAGACATATCCTTTCACTGACTTCCATTCTAAGAGCGCAGTGCCTAGAAGATGCTCCTCACAAACCACATGTGTGAAACAAAGCACCAACCTTTTCGACTTCTTCTTTGAACTTTTCTTCAGAGACCGGGTGAGAGCTGGTCAAAGTCTGAAATATGACCATATTTGAGAAAAGAGGCCCAATTCGAATGCTGTTTAAAAAAATTAAAAAGACTCACCAAAACATTTATAAAGAAATGTGCGAAAAAATATTCAAACTACATAGTGCTTCGTTATCTAATTTCTGGAAGATGTGATACAGTAGTAGAAGAAGAAAATTGAAAATCGATTTATTCGCCTGATAAATGACACTAATTCATTTCCGATTTATCGTCTTCTGCGACCCATTTTGTTTTTGCTTCGGAGACACCTTCGTCGTTAGTGAGCGCCGAGCAGCCTTGGATTTGCCAGACTCGATCGCGAATCTCCGTGAGCTTCAAACGTTTCGAAATTTCCGACGCCGGCGCCGAAGAGACCAAATCTTGCTTATTAGCGAATATCAAGACAGGCACACGGCTGAAAAACTCATCAAAATACTAACGAATCCTGTGAAGACGAAGTGTTGTAGTGAGGGAAGTAGGAATGACAGGACATTCGAGTAGATTTATTCTCCGCGCCACATCTCAAATATTATGCATACTTCGAGTGTCCATGGATTGGCCAACTAAGGGGATTATGTGGGCGATGTAGTGGCTCCTTTACTGTAAGCGCGCTCGTGAGGGGGTAAATAGGGGTCTCAGGAAAAAGCAATGATGCAACTGAATCGCAGTAGGGTAAAGAATTTCCGGCTTGTGAGCGGGGTGAAATCAACGAAGTTTGAACAGCCGAACCCAATATCTGCAACCTTTCTCCATTCCATGGAACCCCTCGTATGACAGTGTTTATGAAAAGTAGGTCCTGCAGCTAATGAACTGCAGTCAGCATTTAGTACGGTCTCACACCGCCAACTATCCGCGTCTCTACGATAGGGCTTGGACACTAGGATGTTTCGTTAGTTGCCCGGTAGCTCCACAACCGAGCGGTACAGTAGTTGCACAATAGAAACTTTGTTGGTCGGGAAGTGCTCAACGGGTAGGAAAGGCTGGTCATGTCAGCTGACCATAATGTGCCAAGAGCAACAACGTGCTCACAAGGCATTAGGGGTATCAAATTTCAGACTCGGGTTCAGAAAATCAATTCTGGTTGAGATTGATCTATCCGTTAGTGCCAGGAGTCAGCGACCAACCTTAGGAGTCTCCCCATAGACAAAGCGAAGAGAAGATAGAAAACGACAGTGAGGAGTGTGATGGTCACCGATCTACCAAGTTCCCTCTCCGCGGCATTATTGTAGTGGGAGGGTATGCGAGATGTATGAAGCGAGATTAGCATGGTAGACGTAGTCATGGCAATTCACCTCGTACCATAGATTCAGGCGATTTGGTGGATCCCAAAGGCCAATGAGAAAAACCACCGTGCGGATTGTGGGATAAGGGAGGGAACACTGCTGTTGGGCGAGCAAGAAAGCAGCGCGACAGGAGGTCAGACAACTCCTGTAGACCGAAAATAGCACGCTAGCGCGGAAATATTACAGTACGAGGGAGCGCCTGAGGGTGTCTGGGCTGCAATACATTCGCGCTAATATTCGTGCAGAATGCGGGATCAGTATATTATCAGAGGGCGAGCAAGGACGGCCAAAACCTACTGGACAATCAATAGGTGGCCCAGTTTTCGTTATTGGTTGCTAGGCATTATGAGAAGTCAGAACTATTTATGATTGACGCCAGAAATGCAATTGCTCATGCTATCGTTGGGGATTACAAAAACATTTTGAGCATACCTCTTGACTGAGTAGATTACAGGGAAGGGTCGCCCCACCTAGCACTGGAAGAGAAAGCAAAAAGCTCTTACCTCAGCTTCTCCTCATCGAGCAGCTCCATCAGCTCCACGCTTGTCTCATCAAAACGCCGCCGATCACTCGAATCAATCACATAGATTAGTGCATCTGTATTTTCGAAGTAGTTACTCCAAAATGGTCGTATCGATCGTTGGCCACCAATATCCCAGACGTTAAGTCGGATATCGCCGTTGGTAACCACACTCTTCACGTTGAATCCACGAGTTGGAGTTACGTTTGTGATTTCTTCAGCCGAGAGTTGCTTCAGAATACTAGTTTTGCCAGCGTTATCGAGTCCAAGGAGTAGAATTCGAATTTCACGTCCATTATTGGACTTGAATGATTTGATGATGTCTAGAAGTCCCATTTGTGGATGTTGGTAGGGAAATTCTTGGAAGGTAACGCGAAAAGGTGTGGACTTTGTGAGTCGCGTTCTCGATCGAGCAAGCGCTCAGTTGGTAGCAAGTGACGGCACCATGGCAACAGCGCCATTGAGCCGATGCTCTGAGAAGACATATTGCAAATAAATTCTTGAGTGTATTGACGAAGTCTGACGACATGCTGGGAATTTGATTCGCGAATGCTGATCATGTAGAAAATCAGCTGCACACTGATCCGGAAAACAGTTCTGCATGGATACAATGCAAAGAATCGTGGAGGGCGTTAAGGAACAGCAAGTTATAAAATTTTGCACAAGGAGTAACTAGAATCAAATCGTATTTGGTCCACATATTTGTTATATAGGCTACATAAGCTCGTACAAAACAGAGCGGTGTACAGGAAAAACTGCAAAAAACAGCTGATACGAGTACTTCACCGAGGAAAACAACCTTAAATGCATGCCCCAGGATCACATTGTGGTGACTCTTGCACACAAATGCAATTGGTGCGATAATAGAGGAGAAAAAGCAAAAAGCACCATAGAAAACAGTGAAATTTCCTCTTGTGAGGTCGGCCGTGGTATGACGGAGAGACACAGCGCTGCGAGGAGAGGGAAAACGCGAGAGAGCACGTCGTACGCGAGAGGGCGCAAACACCACACATGCCGCGATGATAATAATGGCAGCAGTCGGAGAAATGAAGCGAAGGCATCAGCCCCTTGTCGCGCATTTGCAATCCGCGATAGTACCACCACGCCCGTGACTGCGGACCCTAACCGCGTCCAAGGAGAGAATGACTCGAGCAGACACACTCCAGGATCTTAATTTCTGTGACCGCGGCTCTTCAAAATTAGAACTTCACGAATGAAAAGACAACCATTGCAAATCTGGTTAAGATGTGTGGTACCGAAAAGATAGGAAAACCATGCCCGCACGTCCGGCATATCCGCGAAAAGTGGACCTCTTTCTTGCCCGTTGTTCCGCAGTTGAGTGCGACATTCATCGTTCGTCCCTCATTAATACGCTAAACGCTCTTCTCGCTCTCTAATCACGGTTCTTCGTCGCGTTTTTAGACGCTGCGGCGAGTGATTTAGATAGTGTGGCGTAACCGCGCCACTGCCAAGTGACGAGCATGCTAGAATCGTGCAAGTCAAATCTTTTGACTGCCAACTGGTTCTTGGCAGCGCCTCATGAGGTCCGCCTGTCTCCCCTAAGTAGACAATTTCTCCTTCTCTGAGTCTCGTTCTTATCGTTGATCCCTCTTTAATGGAGCGATAAAGAGGTCGAAGCGCAATCGGGAAAGTATGCTGCTCCAACCACATAGAGTCAGGTTAGTCCTTGTGACTTCGCGCAAGCGAAGCCAGGTGTTGAAATGCCGACAAAGTCGCGCTTGTTGCCGCTGAGGCAGGCTTCCCAAGCCAGCTCCGCCGCCAAAAAAGCGATCTCGCCCACTATTTACTTATGAATTGGACGATTGGAGCGTTTGTCAGGCAGCGAGCATAACTGGATTACTTTGGGCAGTGGGTTTGGCACATGGTGCTTACCCAGAACGAAATTAACTTTATGCTCACGCTATGTCCACCAAACTTAGCCGCTGCTCATTTCCGTGCGGCCGCGCAATCGAGCGCCAACCAGGCTTGCGCAGGTCTCGGTTTGCGCTTTCTTGACGCTTTCCGCCTCTCCATCCCGCATCAACCCCACGTCCTGTGAACCCTTCTTGTGAACCTATCGTAATCGCTAGCCTCAAACTCCGCTTTACACACGCACTCCGCCTGAACCTGTGGAAGTTCCTTGAACTCTCTCACATTCCTTCTCACTATTCTACCGAGCCTATGCTGCATGACGTATGGGCATTTCTGCCCGATGCGAAGGCACGGATAACAGCAAAATGATTATGGACGCATAGTGGCAAGACTTCAGAAAGGTGTGGTAGTGATGTGAAGAATGAAGGTTATTACGTGGGGGTCCGACCTCTCACCCACCACACATTCTCAAAACCCGATTTTCGTATTATTGACCGCGCCATGTACTAGCCGGTTATGTCGCGTGAGAAGACGGCCACACATTGAGCGGAAACTCCTCCCCGCTGCGCAGAATTTGCCTGATCTGTAGCGTGACAGAAGGAGTTCCTATTCCTGTTTTATCAGATGAAGGTGGGAAACAACAACGAATTTCTTGCCTAAAATGTCTGAGAAATGTTTTCCGCTTATTAACGAATTCAAGTGGAGGTTGCTGTGGACGATCTTGAGCCTCCGTATCAACACTATTTATCTTTCCCAAGGCTATCATAATATCACGAGCGTTCATTTGGTACTGAAGGGTTTCTGATGTGAAATGTCCAAAAGAATCACGCTTTTGTTGATCCCGTTTGCAGTTTCTTCAGCACCAGCGCGGCAGTAGGCTCTTCTCATGCCTTTGCAACGATAATCAGAACGAAACAAGCTGCTCCCATCTTTATTTCTCAAGATCGACTAACTACATCTTCAAGTATAGCCAGAAGGTAAAGCGACGCCATTTCCTGTCCACGCATTCGAAATTTGAGAATCTGCCGGTCACTTCACTGGATCTCGCGCAGAATAGTGTTGTTTCTTGTTGATTCCACACCTCACAACACCAAATACTTACAGGCAATTCATTGTCTCTCTGCTCCGCGCCTCAATCCACTTTACACGCTCTTCATGTTGACATTGAACCTCACCGCAAACGCTCACACTGCTAAGGCAAGTTTAAGTTCGCCAAGTCCCATACGAAGACACATCCCGACGCTGCTCTTCGTACTCCCTGTACTATTTATCCGTGCTCTTGCCGGTTAAAGGATCCCTGCACCTTCATGTGAGTCTTTTTTCGTTGGTCTAATATTTTTTCTTGTATTTATGAGGATTGCGCACGCCATAAAACTGCAAGAGATTATTATAGCTAGATTTTATGCTCCGCATCCGCTAAACGGTTTCAAGGGAGGTGGTCGCGATAAATCCTATGGGAACGACTGGGAAAGCTACATGGTAGATTGGAAAGAAAACGATAGGAGCAGGAAGAGCAACAGCGCCTTATCAAAGGAGTGAAGAGAAGGGTTCAAACTTTTGGAACTCTTGCTGCGCTACGCTCGAACGCGGAAGGAGTTGAACCGGTTGCATAGTTGACCTGGAGAGGTTATCGGTATTGCTCGTTGTTCATTTCCATCGTGCCGTTGATATCGAACGGTCTCACCTTGGCGAGTTTCAACTGCAGCCTTCGCCTCAGCTCTTATCGCAACTCCTGCTGTGAATTACGTAGAACTCTTCTCCACTATGAAACCAGCTTGCACCCCATTTTCCAAAACGATATTCCGCATGTTAAGAAGCAAGTACTCGGAGCACAAAAAAGGATGTTCATTTCGCTGACTACCGGGAATGCCAAAAAATGAGTAGGAATGAGATTATGGTTGATTCCTGTGGTGACAAAAGTTAGATTTGCACTTACGCAAGACCAGAATACAAATGCAACATCATATTAATATGATCTTAAGCTTAGCAATAACTGTCCCTTTGATGAGAATATTTCGCTCTCTCCCTGGATATTTCGAATTTGCCAATTTCTGAGGCTCCAATCACTGTCACCTTGACGAAAAAAGAAACTGCGCAGCCAGATGACTAGAATGTTCGAACGCTGAACTGCACCTGTTGAAATTGATCAAAACCTTAAAGATGGCGACACAATGCAGAAATCAAATTGGGAATCAGTGAAATGGGAATGGAGGCTTCATTCCGCATTCTAACAAAATGCATCGTAGACTGCCCATATTTGGAACGCTAATAGGCTCCAAATCCTATCACCATGTATTTTCTGGTATTTCACTTGCTGGTGTTGGTGTTAAGGGCCCATCCACACAGGAGTTCATACATAAGTTTTGGTTTCTACCACCTCGCAGTTTCTTCCATGCCCGCTTGCTTGGATTTCTTACACTGTCAATTACAAGACAAATTGATAATGATATTGATCTGATATGTTCGTGGTATCACAGCTCATTTGGAAGCCAAATTACCCAAACTTTAATAACTCCACAACAAAATACCCCTTCACGCTAACGTTTTCTATTCAGAAGCGATGACTACTGCTTCCGTTTCGGGCAGATGTCGTGCTATGTGAAGATATGCGAATGTGAACTGAAAAACTGCACCGACTCAAACAACTGCATTCTCTCGCCATGGTGCGACCCGTCTGGAAAAACCATTGCGATCAATGAGGTCTCCGAGCCCTTTGTCTTTTTTCAACACTACTAAATTTGTCTCTTGCCCACAAAACCGTTTCTAACTATAGAAAAGATCAAGCATTCAAAAATAAGTGGTGGAAAGTATTGCACATAGTTGGACAGCCTTCCGAACCTCTCAGAATGCGCACCCTTGCGGCCCTCAACATGTGTTTGGTCCGAGCCAGACTGCCGACCATGGAGCTAGGTTGACGCAGTGACGCAAAAGACTATTTACTGATTGGCTTTCAGGCCGATGTCAGACTTTGCGAATCGCGCGATTCGCTAGCGTCTGCGGTCGCGTCGCGGCCAGTGAATCACTCAATTGGCTGGTACCGCAACGCGACCGCGGACGCTAGCGAATCGCGCGATTCGCAAAGTCTGACATCGGCTTTCAGCGGGAGCCTTTCCCTCATTTGGAATTCAGACCATTGTGATAGAATCGCTTGGTCGCCAACAGTACATCAGTGCCTCTCCAGCGCGACATCGTCTCACTGCAACGGTTCTCCATTTCGGAATATGATCGCTAGGCGACCTGACACATTTGTGCAGATGTCAGCTCCTTATGAAGGGCTGGGTCTTTGCTTACCCGATTTTCTCAAACTCTTCTCCTTCCTTACATTGGTCCATTAACAAGTACCTTCGTACGGGAGTAAGGTACAGCACGCGTCTGAATGGGCTCTAACTAACCTACACAGAAGCAAACAGTGTTCAGAAACCCACGTGAATTGATGCGTTTAATTATATGTAAGCAAAGTACAG